TTTTGATCATATCTAATATGTTTAAAATCTAAAGTATACGATATCTTAGGTATTAATAATTATATTATTGTTAAGATATTCAACTATTTTTCAAAGTGTAAATTGAAGGTATTTGATAACAAATTGCTTAATTAAAAACATATCTCTTTTCAAACTTGCTCCTGCTGGACACGTTATTACATGTGACGTAAATATAGTTAATAATGAGGACCTAAATATAAAGTTCCTAAATATATAGAACCCCGGTCCTTCAACTGCCGTCGGAATTTCATAAATATTATGAATTCTGTTGAAGATTACGCCAGACGATGGGCCAGATATGAAAAAGAAGACGTTGACACGTTGTCAGAATTGATAAAATGTATCAGATCCATGCTGAAATCGCGAATTAAAAGATTAAGGGGCAATTTGGAAACCATCTATCCTTCTGTATTCAATAATCCAGAAGTGACAAAAGAATTAGATAGATTACATAATCAGTACGTACTGGTTCCTGCTGACAAAGCAAGTAACAACATTGTCTTTGTTTGTAAGGCTCATTATATTAATTGTATTTTAGAAGAACTTGGATTTATTCTACAAGTGGTATTCCAACTTATACTCATATTTCCCTTTCTAAGGAAGAAATTCTTCAAAATCATGTCAGTTTTGAATATTTTTAATATCCAGAGGAACCAAAATGAATTTGAACTACCATATATATATATATATATATATATATATATATATATATATATATATATATATATATATATATATATATATATATATATATATATACACAATTATATTGATTGTGTTTGGTTATGATACACACATAAAATGCACACGTATTACTTTGCTTATTGATCTTATTCGAAATTTGAACACTGCATGGATCAAATAATTCCAGATATTGAAATCAAAAAAAAATCTACCATGAACGTAAGGGATGAGAAGAAATAAGTATGATTTTGTGTATTTTTTGCCTAAAGAATAATTACAGAAAGGTATCTAAAAAACGGATGGTCATCCCTTCATTAATGCCTTGAAATATAACTATATACTTATCTTTTTCAATCAAAAAGACTTATTGCAATCGCTTTATAGATTTTAATGTCGATGTCATGTCGTTACAAATTAACACACATGGACGTGTGATTTACATTTTATTGGTATACGGAGTTATGCATCATAAAATTTGATTTTTAACTTTTTTTCAGACTGTATTTATAAGCTTCGAAAAAATTTTTACAAAAATGCATACTTGGTTCTGAAAAAAAGTTTTACCAATCCTCTTTTCTCACTCCTAAGTAAAATATTTGCAGCAGTGAGAAAAAAAATTCCGAGAGTTATGTACATTAATACGAGGGGTGATGTTCGCGAACTATCTCTATATCTACAAAACCACAATTCAGATTAGAAAAAAATATTTGGAACATACGTAGCCATAAACAAGTTCTTTAAATAACATATGCTGAATGAAGATTAGCTCTTTGTTTGTGAAGTCACAGTGTGAAATGAAGGATATGAAGATAACAAACAGTATTCAATATCAAAGTCCATAAAACAATACAAAATAGGTGAAGAGCAAACAAGGACATCTTAAACATCAGAGGTGGGATCAGGTGCCATGGGGGAGTGAGCATCCCCTGCCGACAGGTCACACCCGCCGTATGCTCCTTGTCATGATCGGAAAATAACGGAAAAAACGTCTTCAATTCATTGTATAAATAATGGACTAACAATAAGTATGAAAAACGTCAGTCAGCATTTGACTCAATTATAAATTGTATTTGCTGACAAGGTCATGGTATCGACCATAGAACTTATGAAATGATGACTTTAAACAAGACTGCTGATAGTCTTGTTTCATCAACTTGTTTGTCCATAAGATACCTTGTTTTAGGAATTTTTCATACGTAGAGCATCTAGCGTATCGAATCAACTGTTTACTCCGTATGCAGGTGATGGGGGAATATTGCTGCATAAGTAAGGGAAGTTGACTATAGAAAAGTTAAAGTCATCACGTTTATCATAGAGCTTGGTTGTTAGATTATCATAAGTGTCGTTTTCAAGTAAAATATCCAAGTATGAAACAGATGTGTCAGACTCTGCGGTATCTTTTATCTCAAGCTCACCAGGATATGTCGTATCGACATAGGATTGGAAATTATCATTGATAATTGAAATTACGTCGTCGATATATCTAAATGTCGAGTTGAAGGCCACAGCAAGTGTTTTCTTCTTTTCGCGCATAAGATCTTTTACAAATTCTGCTTCATATGAATACAAAAATAAGTCTGCTAATAACAGAGCGCAATTTGTACCCATGGGAATTCCAATAGATTTGTTGGAAAACTTGGTCTCCAAAAACCAGATAGATATTGTCAATCAGATACTCAAGCATCTTTTTATGTCAATTTCAGAGTACTTGTGTATGCAATCAGAATGTGTTTTAACAAGATAATTTTGCGAATGACCAATGTCCAGGTAGGTAAATTTACGAGTTCCATTTTTATTGAAAAAGCAGCTGTCAATGATATATAAAATCCTGGACTTTAATGTGTCTTTGGGAATGGTTGTGTATAAAGTTGAAAAGTCGTAAGTTTTTAAGCTGTTGATTTTGGTAAAATCTTTTGATTTCAAATTGTCCAAAAGTTCTTTGGAATTTTTGAGTATCCACATCTGATTCACACCACTTCTTGAATATATTGTTGCACAGTACTCGAAAAGGTTTTTCCTTCACTACTTTCAATATCTTGAGGAGTAAAGAAAGAGGCTTGGTTGAACATTTACTGGAACCCGCAATGTATATTTGTTTGTAAGGATTCTTTTGAAGTTTTGGAAACCAATAAATAAATAAATAAATAAATAAATATATATATATATATATATATATATATATATATATATATATATATATATATATATATATATATATATATATATATATATATATATATATATATATATATATATATATATATATATATATATATATATATATATATATATATATATATATATATATATATATATATATATATATATATATATATATATGTATATGTATGTATGTATCAGTTATCATTATCCTTATCATGTTATATATCAAATTAATAATTTATAAGTTATTATTGCCATTGACATATTTGAATACGAGCAAAGATTAGATAACTTGGCCTGCATAAGTAGTTGTGACTCGAATGCATTTGATACCAATTATTGACTTTACATGCTCAAATAACTTTTCCAAACTTGTCTAAACAATTGCTCCTCAAGAATCCAGTATTATCTAGTGTAAATATTACTTTGTTAAGTAGATGATGTTTGTTCTCTTAGATTAATGACGATAATACAAGAAAGTCTGACATGAAAACTCGAATGTTCAAGAAAAACCATGCATTTATCCCTTCAAAAGCAATATTTAAAATCTAAATTCAATGTGAAATCGTATTAGGTTCATAAAAGCGCCTGAGAGAAATAAAGCATTAGCTCGTGAAGAATAAGAAGACATAATTGATTTTAAATAAACTAAGCGTTTTATTAAGTTACTATAAGCCAAAGCCATAAAATCAAAATAAAAAAAATGAAATGATGAACTCACGTCAAACGAATCGTCAAAACCCGTACTACATTGTACCACCCAAAATGAAACAAAGTATTTAAAAGGGAGTTGGGCAGAAACATTTATCTAAAGGATACAGGAGGGATCGGTGGCCAAGAAGGAGAAAGTATCCTTTGTTTACTGTTCACACCCGTAGTGAGTTCAATGTCCTGAAAAGTTGTACAGAATTATCCGGGGTCAAATGAATGAAAAGGCAATAACCGGAAAATTTAATCACACGTGACAAAACACGACACAAAGCTAGATTTTATTTACAAAAAGGGTATTCATAGCGGCATAGAATTTGCAAAAATCTGATTTGTGTTACGTTGTTACGTTGAAATCCTTGTTTCATAGTTAATAAGTTTGCCAATACATTCTTCGGTTTAAATCAGAGCATATTCTTGCATATCGAATTAGGTGAAATTGATAGAAATAACGAACAGTATGGACAAATGCTGACTGACGTTTTTCATTCTAATTAATAGACAATTATTCATACACTGAATGGACGACGAATTTTTCCATTATTTCCCGATCGTGACAAGGAGCACTCGGTGAGTGTGACTGGACGGCAGGGGATGCTCGCTCCTCCATGGCACTTGATCCAACCTCTGATGTTTTGGAGGTCCGTGTTTGCTCTGCTCCTATTTTGTATTGTTTTATGGAGTTTTGATCTGGAATACTGTTCGTTATCTCCATATGTTTCATTCAAGCTAAGAAGTCCATAAAACAATACAAAAGAGAAGAGCAAACACTGACCTCCGAAACATCAGAGGTTGGATCAGGTGCTGTGGAGGAGTAACCATAGGAGACGAAAACATGATACGTTGAAGATGTTTGAATACCCGAAGCAGGTAGAGGTGGAATATTACAACTAATGAAGGAATGAGAAAAAACTTAATCATCCTGTTGCCATACACTCTTTTTATTGGTAATTTTTGTCTTTATTCAGTAATTAAGTCTTTCGACTTATTTGGTGCTCAAAAGCTTGCCCTGAGTGCGTTCAATTTTTAAAGCGAAGCAAGCTACTCGTATGATAAAGTGATACTAGTATTGAAATTTAATTTTAGATTTAAACAATCTCGTTTAGAGTTTATATTACGTAGATTCTATAGTCATTATAATGACCAAGGCACATAATCTCACTTCTGTAATTTTCAAGGTACATGTGTGTATTTTATGCCCTCTTTTCACATTTCTGTTGTTTGAAGATTTTTTTTAGATCGATCACCGTACATAATATTCAACTTTAACATCAGTAAAACACCCAAACCTGAAAATAGATGTCGCAGAGTCTGTGTTATCTTTAAAATAGGTATTATATAATCATGCGTAATATATCAATTTTAATCTACCTCTTATCAATCATGTGATTTTTTGTTTGATAATTTTTATTGCGCTCATTTCTACAGATAAACTTAACAGAAAACAGAATGGTATTAACTCAAGTGAATAATTGTCCCAGCACATTTTCGAAATGGAGGAACAGCTCTAAAGAGTGTCCAAACACAGACTATTATCATTGTGTGCTTGATGAGAACTCCAACTTTGTTCAGGGATGCATAAAACCAATATGGATCGAGACAGGTAAAGACGGGTTTTGTTTTCATTTATAACAGAAAACGATTACATTGGGTATTTTGGCATTACAATGCGAACTCGATTTAAACAATTATCACCAAACATTACAACATCTCAGACTTTAATCAAAATCTGTATAATTTGATAAAATGATTTGAAAGGCAAATAGCTCAACATTACATTGCCAGTCAACCTAGCATCATCAAAATTTAGATTTCAGTATACATGCATTTAACAATTTTATTTACATTATAACTGAGATTTATAATCATACAATCTGTTTTATGCTTCCCGGGTTTGATAGTCATTATCAAATTTTGTGGACAGATATAATATAAAGAATATCACTTGTTGATTGGGGAGGGGCATATTTTAAAGAACTATAGTTCAATTACAAGACATTTTAAAAAATAAGAACTTGAGTTAAGAAATTTGAATTGTCCTCAAGGAAGATTGGAGATGGCTAAACTTACAGTTTAAGAGATGTCTATAACCTACTCTAAAACCAAAAATAAGAATACTAAACAGAGAGTAATACAATTAGAAACAGAATTGCAAATATTTAAAATAGACATTTTATTGAAATTTATAATCAAGAAAAATATAATTCAGAAAAGAAATTACTTCAAATATATGATGAAAACTAGAGGGATCATCTATTAGATCTAAAGCTAACTCATGAATAAAAATAGGTCTGCTAATAACAGGGCGCAATTGGTACCCATGAGAATTCCAATTGATTGTTGGAAGAACTGAAAAAGCAACTGTCCATTATATAAAAACCCTGGACTTTAATTTATCGTCGGGAATAGTTGTGCATAAAGTTTTAAAAGTCTTACGTTTTTAAGATGCTGATTTTGGTAAAATCTTACGATTTCAAATTGTCCAAAAGTTCCTTGGAATTTTTAAGTATTTAAATCTGATTTACCCCACTTCTTGAATATATTGTTACACAATACTCCAGAAGTTTCTCCTTCACCACTGTTAATATCTTAGTGGGGAGAAAAGAAAGAGGTTTGGTTGAACATTTACTGGAACCCACTATGTATCTTTGTAAGGATTTTTATGAAGTTTAGGAATCCAATATAGATACGGTAGTTCAAATTCATTTTGGTTCTTTGGGATCTTAAAAATATTCAGAACTGACTTAGGATTATAAGAATTTCTTCTTCAGAAAGGGAACTATGATTATAAGTTGGATTACCACTTATAAAATTAAATCCGATTTCTTCTAAGATACAAATAATTCATATAATGAACCTTACAAACTGGGACAATGTTGTTACCTGCTATGTCAGCAGGGACCAGTATATACTGATCATGTAATCTATCTAGTTCTTGTTTATATTCCATCTTCGCTAGCAAAGGGTTTCTGATACGCTTCTCTCCTCATAATCCCTTGGCATACGGTGTTGACAGAAGTTGGGTTTTTTCTGAGTTCTGATTGGGATTCGGTACACCCGGTCGACCAATTAGCAATTGTTTTTTGTAAATGACGTTATTTGCGTTCGGGATACTTCTTGACTCTTTAATCTCGGGAATGAAAAACGCAAGTAAACAACGATCCGTGCAATAACATGCAATTCTATGAATAGCTATGGTGTAATCCAATATCTTCTAAAATGTGATTAAGAATATATATTGAAACTTCAGATTTGTACTTTAAACAATAAATAAACATAACTCAATTATTGCTTCTATATCATTCTTGAAAAAAAAAAACTTTGATTTAATTCTTTTAAACACACGTCTTTATTTCTGTCGATGACGCAATCTGTGCGTACCTGATAGATTCGAGATCACGTGACGAAAACAATCCCGTCTTTTGTCTTCACCGTATGCCAAGGTTTATGAGGAGGGTAGCGTATCAGAAACCCTTGGCTAGCGAAGATGGTTTATTTTCTGGATTGTTGAATACTGAAGGATAGGTGGTTTTCATATTGCCCCTCAATCTTTAAATACGCGATTGTAACATAGATCTGATAAATTTTATCTTTTCTGACAAAGTGTCCACGTCTTCTTTTACATATCTGACCCATCACCTGGAGTAATCTTCTACAGAATCCATTTATGAAATTCCGACGCCAGTTGAAGGATCGGGGTTCCCTATAATTAGGACCTTTTACAATTATTGATATAAGGTCTTCATTATTAACTATATTTACGTCATCTGAAACATCGTCTCCAGTGGACTATAGTTATAGGGTGAAGAAGAACATGAACACAATGAAGGATTATTTTTCAGATACTCGATACCCAGGCGCTGTAAAGTTTTCTTTTAATTAAAAGGTTTGGAAGCAATAGTCGATGTATATTTATAGGAAATACAAGGTGTAGTTTGCCCTTTTGTGATTAAGGATATTACTGATATTCACTTCATCTTGAAGTTTAAAAAAAAGGCGTTTTGTTTTAGCTGCATTTTCTTTAGTAAAATGTGCGGGTTTAAAAAGCCTATGATTTGAAATATTCATTATCACAGATGCGAGCCTATGTTCTGGTGTCAAGGACTCAAAAATTGGACTTGCCTTGACCTTTTCAAGAAGACTATTCCAAAGTTTCAATGGGACAGAGTAAAGTTTGTTGCGAATATGACGTAGACCTTACTGTTGAATTACATAAGGTAGTAATGAATCAAAAGAGACGTGTCTTTAAGATTTATTATGACTGCGCTTATGTCTCTGTGTATGTTAAAAAGTCCCAACACCTTTACGTTTTAAACTGTTGACTGGAAAGATTTCCAATGCTATCGACATTGTCTATACATCCATAGGGAAAGGCTGTCCCAGGTTTTCTAATCAAAAATTCTTCTCGTTGTCTACGGAAAGGTGTATCCAGTGAAGGACTATTGGTATGGTGATAAATCCTTTTCAAGAATTCTAACTTTCATTGACAAAATAGAATGATCAGGTAAATTAAACTGCTTGTATCAAAGCTGTTGGTCCCCATTATTTATTTGAAATCTATGACTTAGTATTCTTTTATAATGCTCCCTTGGTTTTACCAACATAGACAAGTCCATACAGATTACATTTTATTCCGTAGACAACATTAGAAGATTTGCAGTTCAGATTTTCTCAAGTTTTGGTATAAGATCTCTGTCAAAGTAGAGAATTAGATATAAACATGGTTTTAAAATTAAAAAATCTAGAGACCTCATTTAAAAACCTGAAACACTTTAGTATTCTAAAAAAAAATTTCTGGTTATTCAGAGTTTTGTCCGGTGTACAACACAAAAGCCGTGAAAATGGACTCACAAAAATGCAAAAGAAAAGAATGTCCAACAAGCAACTTCCGCTCTTTTCAGATTTATCAATGTAAGTATATTTACATTTGTTACTAAGCTTGACGATAAGGTTATTTAACTGATAGTTCAGAGCTCTTAATATAAAATGTATTCTAAAGAAAACTTTTAATCTTTACATGAATAATTTGAAAAAAAAATGCATTTAAGGTTAAAAAAAAACTCATTTTACCCCTCCCCTGCAAATGAAAATTGAAAAGGTTAATTTCGTTCAAATTCAAAATACTTAAATTGAACTGTAAAAAAATTAGGTTTATGTGTCAAACACCTGCTTTAAAATTGTATCATTCCCTGTCTTTTGATACATATAGACGAAATAAAACAGAAAGGCAATCTTATTTATAAATTAACTTTAGTGATTTTACATAGACAACTTATAATAATGTTAAAACACAGATTCCATCATGTTAATTTTTTACGTTCTGCCTTTCTTTCACGGGGGTTATATTTTACGGTTATTTTTTCCAGATCCTGAATGTTTATCAAGGGAAAGGTAAGATATATATTTTAAAGTATTAAAAAATCTTATCATACTCGACCTTTTTTTTTTTGCTTCAATACTTGCACATGTATTAACATAGTGGAGTACATATAGCTAACTAGGATCCCCTTCCCAATATTCCTTTTTTAAGTTTAATCTCGACTTTGATATCATTATTCTTTAGTTCAAACAAGTATACATTGACGAAAAGTAGGAAACACTTATTTTATATGTTCATTTTTCTTCTGTTTAAAGACTTATTTTGGAATCCACTACGGAGAGTGACATTTCGTTGTCAGCCACCCAGACTTTGACAGAGAATGGATCCTCGCGTCCATTAGTATCAATAGTTCTGCCATCTGTGATCATACCTTTATTTGTTCTCATTTTTATTGCAATGGCGATTTACATTTATTTCAAATTTAAAAGAAGTCCTTTTCCATGGTGTGCATCAAAAAGACGAAAGTCAGAAATTGAAGGTAGGTTTTCTATATTCTTATTATTTCATTGTTTTGTCATAATGTCAGGCATATATTCAGCCATAGAGAAAAGTCTCAGATGTGTGCATGAAATTAATTTTCTAGATTTGTTATGTTTCAGAGACTAAGGAAGAAAATAGTCCTTTCTTGGAGACAAGTAAGATCATTATGAAGAAAAGATAGAATTCTTTTCATTTGCTTGATTTTTTAAGATAAAGAGTATTATTTTAGATAATGTTTTCAAAACTATGTCTAGAAGATTTGAAGATTTTAATATTTTGTTTTTATTTGTTTAAAATGATTTGAGAAGTAGAAGAAACCGATGCTTTGGTACCGTGATTTCTCCAATATTTGTTTAAAACATATTTTATTGTACAATGTATACATAGGATTAGTAACAAGATTTTTAACCAAGAAAACCTTTTCCCTGTACATATATGTGACAGCAAATTTATGTAATCAGAAATTTCATACATTTCCTGAATTTCAGGAAATACAGGAAAATTCCTATTCGGCTTAGTTAGGGAATACACATACTTACTGATTTATTTTTCTTCAATACTTCTTAAATATATCTATGCCTCCTCCTTCCTTTACCTCAACATAACATAAACACCATATATGTTGAAATGAAATTTATTGATCAAATAAATCTTGATCAACAATCAAAACATGTAGTAGAAACAAATCAAAATATCTACCAAAATATTCTTGAAACTACATGCAATTATGTATGGGGCTAACAGATAAGTTCAAATGTTAATATCTCACAATAATCAAATAATGGGCAAAGGTGGGGTCAATTACCCATGCGTTGAAAAGATCATGCCCATTACTGATTGTGTTTGATTGAGAAAATTTAAAATATTAATCACGAAAACAGATGCATAGTATATCCAATGTTTATAATATAAAGTTTGCATATAATGTGAATAAATAATATTTGAAATAAACCTTTTTTTTATTTAGGCATTATTGTACATTTAAAAGAATATTGACGCACTGCTTTTGTTGTCTTGAATGGGTTGTCTCTATCGCAAAATACTATAACTAATTTTGTTTTAAATTTTAATTATTAACAGCGCATATGGGCATTTTTTGTTTAAGTCGATATTCATACAATGCTACTTTGCATTTATGTACGGTTAATTTGAAACACTGAAGCATCGCATCTTAATAAATAAAACAATTAGACAACTTCTTTACAGTCTCTTCAAAGGAGAAAAAAATAAAGCTATATCATATATGATTGACTAACACGTTTCCAAAAATTGTAACCAATTTCATTAAGAGTTTAAACATAGGTAAAACAAATATTCACAAATAATGTGTTTTATTTTCATAAATATTTTTTATAAAGAAAATAATAAATGTCTATTCAGAGTTTTTTTTACATATTCCATTAGACATTCATATACTCTTAAAAAAATTATAAAAATAGAAACGCATAGCATAATTGTAGTGATACATTGAACATGAAGGTTATTCAGAAAAATGATGTATTGATACTATCTAAATGTCATAACTACTCAAGAATTCTAAAATTGCAGGCAGTTCAAGGTCATTAGATATCAATATTCGGTATGCCCCCAACAGACACAAATGATAGCCAAAAACGGATTCTAATGGAAGCAAATGCGTGTAATAAAAACTGTATAGGAATACTCTCATACTCCAAATGTAGAACTTTGGTCAGCTGTTGCAGAACCTGGAATATGCAAATCCTTTGTCTTTGGCAAATCATGAAAATCCATTTTGTCTTAAGCTGCTCCATTGGGTTTAAATCTGACAATTCATATGATTATGACAGAAACAGGTTGCTGTTGCTTTGCAAGAATATGATTGTCATACGAACCTGCCGTTTGTGGCTGTGTATTGTCATGTTGAAATACGGCTAAAGGATGCTGCAAAATTGACAAGGCATGTGCAGGTAGACATTATAGAGTACCCTTTTCCATCAAAGTCCTTTGAATATGAACCAAATCATTATTATTTTTATGTTATATCGTTTTCCATATTATTACACTACGATCACCAAATCTTTTACCGTTCTGGAGGCAGTTTTCTGTCTAACGTTCATTATTAAGCCTTAGCACTCTTAAACTTACAACAGGCTTTCCGATAAACGATCTGGACAAGTACATGTAGTTAGACTAAAATGTTCATTGGGGTTGCTGTGGCCATAGACTGTTGATCTGAAATCTTAGTTTTGGGGGTCAGAAAAATGGAATAAATAATCCTCTTTCAATAATTCCAGCATTCCGTAGTCAACTGCAAACAGTCGTGTTAGATGTTCAGTGCAGTTCAGGGATAGCTAATGCTATAGATTACGTCATTGTGTTACATTCATGCAATTTACGTAATCCTCTGAAGTGATGTTGTGCTGCTGATGTCATATGTAATCTACCGAATTTTTTGCGATCATTGGGTGTTCAATGTTAAAAGTATATGTTTTATACGTTAAATATGGTGCTGTGCGTATCATTAAAATCTCTTCCAATTGTAACCTGTGGTACACCTGCTTCCAGTTGCCTATTTTTCTTTTTGTGCTATGCAGCATTCAGATGCAGCAATTTTAGATTGCGTCAATTTTCAGATAAAACCAGATTAAAAATATCGATAACCCCTGCTTTTGATAGCCCCTTTGTGTCTGAAGGAATTGTATCAGAAACCAACAAATGAAAATTGAAATCAAAATTTTGGGGGCATTTTGCAAAATCGAGTCTTTATGTCTGTGCGATTAGTAGAATACCTGCAAATTCAACAATTGCATTTAAAAATGACGAATTTTACTGAATGCATCATATCTCTCTAAAAACATTGTATAAGTTTAACAAAAACTTTCTTACATTTTTCAGGGTATTGTTCCTACTACGCATATCTTTTTTATGAGTATATTATGCATTTATTAACCGCAAATGTTCAACTATAAAGCCTCTTATTTGCAAAACAAATTCTTTTTCTCTGTAAAAAATACAAAAAATCATGAAATAATTTAGAGCTAATATTGGAGAACAATGCTGAAACCATACTTTAAAAGGTATATCTTAAAGATCTCTTAAATAAACTTTTGGAGTGGCAAACCTCCTTAGGTGTTCCTAAAAGCATGAATCTATAGTATTTCGATACTTACTAAATGTTTTAAAGCGTATATATATATATATATATATATATATATATATATATATAATATATATATAAGCACATTTTACAACAACTCTTAAACTAATATAACTGCCCTAAGTGAAGAAATATTAATATAGAAAGCACAAAGAAATTCACTTTTACATGGATACCCACTTCCGCCCCAGCCCGGGGTTGAACTCTCGACCTTCGGAATCTGTCTCCTAACAGTGCAGGAACAGCGCGCTAGACCGCTCGGCTATCTAGGCAAGTCATAAAACTTGCTTTCGATGCCGATGGAATTCTCGCGGCGCTGTCCTACACTACACGGTCATACAAACAATTCAAAGTATATTGTGACGTCATGTAACGTCAAAAGTGTTGCGCTTTAGTACAGTTCATTGTGACGTCATTATGTTACGTTATTACGTTAACAATTAGACAAATAATGCGGGAAAATTGTAAATTGTCTATTATGACAGGGCATTTAGCTTTGGTTGAAACAATGAAATAAAATGTTTTTCCTTGGTTTCACGTTCTTTTTCGGAAGTCTTGTTATAGAACTTGTATATAGGAAACACTGTAAAATTAGAAAAAATGTTTTCAGCACATGTTCTGATATGTCCGCTCACGGCAGTGCACTGGTATTCAGTTTGACGAATCTGCTGACGATCGACAGTCATTCGGTCAATATAATGCTCACCGCATCCTGAACATGACATGATATATATCAAATTTGAACTCTCGCAGGTAAAGGAAGAATGAATAATGAATTTTCTTCCGTTTTTAAAGATAAATTGTTCGTTTTCCTATAAAAAAGGACAGGTTCCACATCTTGGATGATGACATTTTTTAACACCGGCTGTTTCTTCTGTATTGTTAAATTTAGCTCGTGTTACAGGCACATAGCATCGTTTTTGAAAGTGGGGGGGCCAACCAGACAAATTTTTTTTTACTTACCTGAAAAAGTTGACAAGCAAAAAAAAAAAAAAAATTAAAAGTTGCCCAAACTCGAAAAAATCCTATTTCGGGGGGGGGGGGGGGGGGGGGGGGGGGGGGTCGTAGTGGCCAACTTTTTCGGAACTAACTTACTATCACTTCCAATTTTTCCCCTACAATCCTTGATTTCACTATACTATGGTATAAAGTGGAGGTGCCAACCATCCTTTCCATGAACATTTACTATAGTAAAGGTAATGTTATACAAAAAAGTGGGGGGGCCAGGCCCCCCCCCTGCCCCCCCCCCGGTTGCTACGTCCCTGTGTTAAAATCTTCTTTAAGGAGGGGCTCTGTCTTTTACTTTTGATTAACTGAAATTCACTGAGTACTTCTTTCATCCTTGGATCATTCTCTAAAATTGGCATGTTTATATTTATATATATATAGAAAGCACAAAGAAATTCACTTTTACATGGATACCCACTTCCGCCCCTAACAGTGCAGGAACAGCGCGCTAGTCCGCTCGGCTATCTAGGCAAGTCATAAAACTTGCTTTCGATGCCGATAGAATTCTCGCGGCGCTGACCGTGTAGTGTAGGACAGCGCCGCGAGAATTCCATCGGCATCGAAAGCAAGTTTTATGACTTGCCTAGATAGCCGAGCGGTCTAGCGCGCTGTTCCTGCACTGTTAGGAGACAGATTCCGAAGGTCGAGAGTTCAACCCCGGGCTGGGGCGGAAGTGGGTATCCATGTAAAAGTGAATTTCTTTGTGCTTTCTATATTAATATTTCTTCACTTAGGGCAGTTATATTAGTTTAAGAGTTGTTGTAAAATGTGCTTTATATATATATATATATATATATATATATATATATATATATATATATATATATATATATATATATATATATATATATATATATATATATACGCTTTAAAACATTTAGTAAGTATCGAAATACTATAGATTCATGCTTTTAGGAACACCTAAGGAGGTTTGCCAC